TCCAAGGAACAATGAGGGGAGATGGAGACGTGAGGCCAAGATGTTTTTTGGAGTAGTCAGAGAATGAGGCGAAGCAAACATCTTTGTAGCCGGTAGAGGGTCCATCGGGCAGAGAATGAATGCCCGGCCGATCACCGGAAGCTAAAGCGACATTACCAGGAGCGAACGACAATCGAGGCGGGAGACGGCACTTTCCAGAGGGATGACCAAAACCACCACAAGACTGACAAATGGGGTCGCTGCTTCTTTTTCTAGGGTCATCCCATTTTCCAAAATTCTTATGCCCGGTCTGTTGAATTCCATTCTATGCATGACAATGCTCAATAGATCCTCACTAGTATTTATGCCCCTTGTACTCACTCTGAAAAAAGGCAATTTCTTCAGTGGTTTCAAAATATTAATATGCCTAATTCTGTGGATTGGATTATAGCGGGAGATTTGAATCTCTGTAGATCACCAGAGGATAGAAATCAGCAAGGTGGTGATCATCAAGACATGTACCTTTTTAATGAGGCCATTAGCTCTCTTGGCCTGGTTGAGATACCTTTAAAGGGAAGAGGATTCACTTGGTCTAATAAACAACCATCACCTCTTCTTGAAAGACGATTGGTTTTTCACCTCAACCTCCTAGACTATTTCATATCCTAACACTTTTGCTTACCCTCTCTCCATGGAAACCTCTTATCATGTTCCATGTGCCATCTCTATCTCCACCAAAATTCCTAAAGGATCCATCTTTCAGTTTGAAAATCACTGGCTTGAGCATGCAGATTTTTATAATGTTGTCCAACAGCACTAGACAGCCCCAACACATATCACTGATGCAGCAAAGGCTTTAATAGCCAAGTTTAAAAATCTCAGAGTGGCACTCAAAGCTTGGAAAGCAACTCTCTCTAACTTGAAAACTAATATTGCCAATGTCAAGATTGTGCTAGCATTTCTGCAGGTTATTGAAGAATTCAGGGATTTATCTATTCCAGAATGGAATTTTAGACAATCTCTTGATGTTAAATTACAGAGCTTGCTAAGGCAACAGAAAATCTACTAGAAACAAAGAGGGCAGATAAAATGGGTGACTCTAGGTGATGCCAGCACCAAATTTTTCCATGCCAATGCAACTATAAAGTTCAGAAGAAATTTGATTACCTGCCTTGACGATAGTACTGGAACCTCTATCTTTGATCATCAACAGAAGGCTGACATGATTTGGGTGTCATTCAAAGAAAGGCTAGGTGTATCTAAATTTTCCTCAACTCAATTTAACCTTGACTCTGTGATGTAGGCATCTATTTTTTTTCTCGAACAGCGCAGGAGAACTGTGCGTCATTTCATTAAGGTAGAAAAAATGTTACATGGGTCCAAGAGACCCAACTCACACACCCCACACCCTGGACACTAAGTTACATGCTCGCCACATAACGAATAGAAACGACCAAATGCTCCGAGCTTTAAGCTCTAGTAGGCAGCGACCTGAAAACATGTTCCTGGAGTTTAAAGGCCCCTGCCGAGCACCAAAACCCTCCCTCCGAGCTAATAGCCCTAAGAACCTCCTAGACACTTGGCCTCTTATTATCAAAGACACAAGTGTTGCAATGCCTCCAAATCTCCCAAGCCACCAAAATTATCAAGGAGTTGAGGCCTTTTCACGCTTCTTTGGGGACAGCTGTAGTTGACCTCTTCCACCACCCCAAGAAAAGAGTCACAGTAGGCTGTGGTGCCACCTGCAGCAGCCCTAACTGTTGCAAAATCAGAGACCAAACTTGTAGGAGCGAATACACAACCCACTAGCAAATGATTTATTGTTTCATCCTCTTGATCACATAAGGGACAATGCAGGCATCTATTGACCTGAGCTCCTTGGTGGCACCTTTTAGTACAATGGAAATTGACCTGGTGGTTAGAAATTTGCCCTCAGATAAGGCACCTGGTCCTGATGGCTTCAACACTGATTTTGTCAAGAAGTGTTGGCCTATTATTTGTCAAGATTTTTACAAACTTTGTGATGATTTTCATTCTGGTGATATTTGTCTTCAAATTATCAATGAATCTCTGATTACTTTGGTTCCAAAACATGATAATGCTATTAAGGTGGCTGATTTCAGACCAATCTCTTTATTAAACACCTCAGTCAAAATTGTCACAAAATTGCTAGCCAACATATTGCAATCGGTCCTTCCTCAGCTAATTCATAAGAACCAATATGGATTCATTAAGCATAGATTTATTCAAGATTGCTTAGCTTGGTCCCTGGAATTTCTGCACCTTTGCCATCAGTCAAAGCAAGAGATTATTATACTCAAGCTATATTTTGAAAAAGCATTTGACAAGGTTGAACATAATTTGATGCTTAAGATTATGGGAAAGAAAGGCTTCCCTGATAGATGGATGACTTGGATGCATTTGGTTTTCAATTTTGGGACCTCAGCTATTCTGCTCAATGGTGAATCAGGGAAGGCGTTTCATTGTAGGAGAGGAGTTAGGCAGGGTGATCCCCTCTCCCCTCTCTTATTTGTCCTGGATGCAGGTTTCTTATAGGACCTTCTTAATTCAGCGAGAGAGCAGGGACTTCTTTCATTACCTTTGGTGCTACCTCATACTCAAGATTTTCCAATTCTACAGTATGCAGATGATACTTTGATATTTATGAAGGCAGATGCTAGATAGCTCTTTTTCATTAAGGCTTTGCTAAATTCCTTTGTTGAATCCATTGGTTTGAGGATCCACTTTGATAAATCAATGATGGTTCCAATAAATGTTAGTGAAGTAAAGTTGAAAATCTTGTCAAGAACTTTGGGCTGTTCTAAGGGATCACTTCCCTTCACATATCTAGACTTGCCTTTAAGCCTCATCAGACCAACTGTTGCTAATTATTGGCCTTTGGTTTCTCGATGTGAACGTCGTCTAGTCAGTATATCAACCTTTCTGAGTCAAGCTGGTTGTTTGCAGTTAACCAATGCAGCCTTTAGTGCTTGCCAACATTTGCAATGTCAACTTACTTGCTTCCAAAAATAGTTATCAAGCAGATAGATAAGTTCAGAAAACACTGTTTATGGCGTGGTTCAGATACTAACAGCAAGAAACCCCCCAAGGCAGCATGGCCAATGACTTGTGTCCCCAAAGAAAGTGGAGGTTTTGGTGTACTCAATTTGCATACTCATAATCAGAGTCTGCTTCTTAAAAACTTGCATAAGTTTTTCAATCGATTAGGTATCCCATGGGTACACCTTGTTTGGGAAGTCAGGTACCCAAATGGCTGACCAACAACTACTATTCGCAAAGGCTCTTTTTGGTGGCGTGATATTCAAAAACTTCTGTCTGCTTTCAAAGGTATGGCAATGGCTACAGTTGTGAATGGAACTTCAAGCTTATTTTGGCTGGATTCTTGGAATGGATTTACCTTATGTAATAATATGACAGAGCTCTTCTCCTTTGTCAAGAACAAATATGTCACTGTCCAAGAAGTCTGTCAGACCATAGAACTTCATGATCTTTTTCACTTGCCTCTTTCTGAGGAGGCTTTTCTACAACTCTCACAGCTCCATGACATTGTTCAATCTATGGATTTACAAGATGGTTTTGACAGATGGTCATACATTTGGAACTCTGGTAGCTTCACTTCAAAGCATGCATATATGCTTCTCATTGGGACAAGGCAGGTCCATCCTGCTTTCAACTGGCTCTGGAAATCCTGCTGTCAGAACAAAAGGAAAATTTTCTTCTGGCTGCTTCTCAAAGTTAGGCTTAGTACCAGGGAGCTTCTAAAAAGGAAAAGAATGGTGTTAGATGACTACAATTGTGTTCTCTGTAATGAAGCTTCAGAAGAATCCCTTATTCATCTGTTTTTGGCTTGTCCCTTCTCAAAAGCATGCTGGGCAACTCTAGGTCTCTTCATTCAGCAGCCATCAGATCCTTTTGGGACTTTGACTTCGTTCAAGAATCAGCTACAGCTTCCTTTGTTTATGGAGATAATTGTGACGATGTGCTGGTCTATTTGGACTATTAGGAATGATGCCATCTTTAGACAAGTGCCACCTTCTGTTCAACACTGCAAGTCCATCTTCAGAACAGAATTTGCTCATGTTATTTCTTCGAGCAAAGAGCAGCTTAACCTATTTGTTTACTCAATGGCTAGATGCATATAAGTAATTTTACATATTTTTTTGTAACTTTCTTTGTTTCTTGATACCCCTTGTAAGAACATTCTCTGTTTTTAAAAATTCAATAAAAGCACAGTAGGGGTGCACCCCGCTCCTGTTTCCCCTAAAAACACTTATCTACCCTCAGAAACAACATCTGGAATAAGTTCGTTATTTCCCAACTAAGTAAAGCATGTTAGAATTGTTAGATATAGATGTATAGGTATCTTTGCTATTTCCTCTTTGTGTAAGGGCTTCTATGCATATATGCCCATGTACATGTTTGGGCTGAAGCCCACCGGAATGTATTGAGTTCATTCACTCCTAACATGGTATCCAGAGCCGGTGTCTAGGTTTACCTCGCTGCCGTTGCAAGCGTCGCCGGCATCGTTGCCGCCGGCGAGTGACCCTGCTTTGCTCCTCCCGTGCGCCGCCGCGCTCGTTCACATGCTCGTCCGCGCTCCATCCGCCGCACGCCGTCGCGACCACTGCCCAGCCGTAGCCGTCGGGCGGCCGCGCATGCGCGTGTGCCCGCTCCGGCCTGCTGCCGGCTGGCCGCGGCCTCCGGTGGACACCGCACCTCCCCTAGCTGCCCCTCCCCACGCCGGGCGCGGCCCTCTGCTTGAAGCCGCCCCTGCTCTTCTTCACTCGGGAAACTAGGCGCGGCCCTCTGCTCTGCCTCGCCGCCCCTGCTCAGCTTCGCTCGAGGAACCAGGCGCGGCCCTCTGCTCTGCTCGCCGCCCCTGCTCTGCTTCGCTCGGGGAACCAGGCGCGGCCCTCTGCTCTGCTCTGCTTTCTCTTGGAGCAGAGGAGAGCTCCGTTGCCCCCCCCTTTGGTTTGGTTCTCTTTGCACTCTGAACTAGGATGGCTTCAAGTTCAGATCCTCAACCGGTTGCTGGTCTGCTTTCTCAGTCTTATGGGGGTCAGATTCTACGATGTCCAGTAATTTTCAATGGCACTAATTATCGTGTTTGGGTTTCTCGCATGCGTTGGCATATGCGTGATCTACGCCTTTGGGATTTTCTCACTGGTGAACTGTCGTGTCCACCTTTACCCACTCCTCCTGTGCAGCCAGTCTTTCCTCCTGCAACTTCAGACGATGATAAGAAGAAATTGCGTGATAAATATAATGATGATATGGCCTCATACATGTCTCAGTTTGCAGCATATCGGACTTGGTTGGATGAGGATGCTCGTGCAGGTGCTGTTCTAACTGCTAGCATGGAGGAACATTTGACTGCCAATATTGTAGAGCTTGACTATGCTTCTCAGATGTGGGCTTTTCTTCACCAGCGCTATGAGCCCTCTGGTCAGTCCACATACATTGCGGCTTTACGCCAAGAGCAGTTGTTGCAACAGGTTGATGCTACAATTGAGGAGTTCTTTAACCAGCTCTCTACTGTGTGGCGTGAGCTTGACACTCTGAGTCCTCAGCTGTTCCCTGCCACCTGTGAGTCCTGCAGGAAGCAACGGAGCCACCTTGACCTTCGGCGCATCTACGATTTTCTGACTCGTCTTCATGCTGAGTTTGAGCCTCTTCGTGCCCAGTTACTAGCTCGTGAACACTGTGTGTCCCTGATGGATGCTCTTGCTGCCGTTCGGAATGAAGAGATCCGTCTTCGTTCTGCTAACAAGAATAAGATGTCAAACTCTTTGAGCACATATTCTGAAGCATTGCATAACTACTTTTTTGCATTTGACCAGGAATTAAGCAACTGAGTTTTGTTTTCTAGAGGGGAGAAATCAGAACAAGTGCTTTTGATCAGAATGGCAAATCAATTTTTTCGCAGCACTGGGAGAGCCCTTGGCTCATCCTCAGAAACAGCCTCCGATATGAATCATCATCTCTAAATGCAGACAAGCTGCAAGAAAACTTTGCAAATAATTTCCAGTTGTATAGATTTACCAAAAACAAATAATAAAGATATAAAAGATTCTTGGTTAGCTGTGAGAAACAGTCAGCTCTCAAATCCCTCCATTAACAAGTACGGAACAAGTGATAAGAATCATCTCCAAAAGCACAAGGATAGAGCTCAAAGACAACCCAAACAGATATATCTAGTTTTGAGAAGTTAATTAAGCAAATTATTGCGAACTGAGCGTAGCTGATTGGGTTCCTCGTGGTGGAACCTGACCACCCGGGTTCAAGTCCCCAACATATATGAGTGCTCGCATTTTCCTGGATTTATTCTAGGATTTAACGATATTATTCTTTCAGTGGTAGGCGACGTGTCCGTCGACAGCGAGGTGTCTATAGTGACTTCGTCAATCTCGAGATTTGCTGGTCCAACTCAGTTATTAGGAGGTGTTCATAGGGTATTTTTTTCTTAAAAAAAAAAAAAAAGAAGGATAAAATGCTACGCCCTTGGACTATTTTGGGGAAACCACATGGGCTTTGAGCTACACATCACACACCACACAAGGCAAGATAGGTGGATATGCAAAGTAAACCCCTCTATTTCCTCTATCTCAAGAAAGCATGTCTAGGACTTGGGGAGTAGATTAGTGTAGCAGAGAAATTACACTTTTGCACCTATAAAGAGTACATGACTGTCCTATAAAAAGCAATTGGGGGAATAGAATAGTGTAGCTTTAGTGTTGTACACGAGTGAATGGAAGGGGAACGAGGGAAGCTTTCTAAGAGCATCTCGAAGAGAATATCCAAAATGACTATATAAATTTAGTGATTTAACTATATTTTGTAAAATGAATCTTACTTAAAAAGTAGACCACTCCAACAGACTATCTAAACTAAAACTCTCTATATTCAAAAGCCTGCCACGTCACCCGATCTCTCGTCTTAACGGATCGCGGCGACGTCGTCGTTCGTCTCGTACGCCGCCTGGGAACTCTGCAAGTCACCTTTCGTCAATTTGAAGCCGCGATCTGCTAGCTAGCCAACGCACATGGGGGCGGCATAGCCACGTCCAGCCAGCCGCACCGCACGGCAAGGGGCATCGCCCAGCACCGTCCTGTTGCTGTTGGCCACACGGCTTCAGGGGCATCATGCGGCAGCCTGCTCGTGGCCTGTGATTGCGGCCAGCTAGGAGGTATGTTTTGGCATCTGTACAGATAATGTGGCTTACAGTGAATTAGTCTGGTTTATGAGAGAATTTTGTTCTTGTACCGTACAGCTCAAGGTGTGTCAACGATAGACTATAAAGATGAGTTCTATGATACATGTGTATGGAATGAAGTGCTTGAGTCGTCATCTACAGACGATGAGGATGATTTATATATTGCTGCCGCGCACATAGTAGCACTGTAGCAGAGGATAATGACAATCAACTATATCGCCGAGGTTCTATTGACGGACATCGCGTATTGAATCGAGATAGGCAGTCCGGGCACTTCAGACTTTTTCTAGACTATTCCTCACCTATGTATGGGCCGAACTATTTTAGGCGTAGGTTTGTACTTTTCCCTCGTAGTATGAATTTTCTTTTCTACATGCGTGTAGGTTTGGCTAATTAATTTGTCTTGTGGCTAATTAATTTCTTTTCAATAGCATGACGAACTGCTGAAAACTGCATGTGTCTTTCAAGCAAAGGTTAATCGTTTGGTTTTTAAAATTAAAATTATGCATGCACTCTCTCTGGAAGTGCAACAGCTGCAAAGCAGCAAGAATAATATTGAAAAAACTAACCTTGCCCATTGCCTTGCATCGATGCTGCAAAACAAACAATAATATTAATTTCCAATCTAAATGTCACTCTAAAACTAGAGAAAATGTATCAGTTCAGTCTCAAACAAATTGCTATTACTGATGACAGAGCCAAACATCACCTTCTGAAATTACTACATAAACTCAACAGGCATCACTTCTGAGTGCAATTATTCCCAAATAAGAGGACATTCATAATTCAGCCCTCGACTACAGAATATACCGAAATTCATCCGTACAACAAAGGAGCAAGATATGGACAACAATCATGACAATTCATTTCTAGATTTTCTTTTCTGAATTAAATCAATTTTGCTCAGAGCAACACACTGCTATGAACAAACTGAGAAACGAAATAAAATTAACAAGGCCTCACCAGAAAAATCCTCCTTGCCGTCGACCTGGTCTGCACCTGGGAAGGGGAACTGCGATGGCTGCCCACCGGCTGGGAAAGAGAACTGCTGCATCTGGGCAAGATGGTGGGAGGCACCACCCGCCGGCGCAGCAGTCCGGCCCCTCCGTTTTCCATCCAATCCAAATTCACAAGCTCCTCGCAACCACCGGAATCCTGGCTTCCTTGACCCATGGAACTACCAGGCAACTGGGGCATCGGAGAAGACCGGGCGCCATACCCCCCGCGCGCAGCCGCTGAAACAGGAGGACGTGGCGGCAGGGACATGGGGGGTGCTTGCAGGGGGCGACGGGCAGAAGATTGGTGAGGGGGGTGGGCGGAAGCAGCTGGGGACGCACCTGTTCGCGGGAAACTGCAAGGGAAGGCGCGGGAAGGGAAACGCCGAGCGTGCCAACAGCCAGATGGCGAGCGACGTGGGCTGTCCAGGAATAGAGAGCGGAGGGGGAGGCATGGAGATCAATTAGATTTGGGGAGCCCGTTGGAGACATTTTTTTTTCTAATAATTGCCAAATTTAGCTTTACAAAACGATTTAGATCATCTCTGGGAGATGCTCTAAGTCCCTCCATATGACTGTTCATAGGCTCACAGCTAAGGTCATCTGTATAATTTTAATGGACCTTGGACAAGCACAATTGTAAGGGCCAAAGTAGCTCTCGACCCTGTGGAACAATAGCCGAGCAAGGGTTGTAGCGCACGCCCTGGCCTTTGCTCGGACTAGGCTTCCAACCTTGACCAACACTAAGAATATACCTTTAGAATAAGTCTGGCATCCACACCCTGACACGCGGGCAGAGCCACAAGGCACCAAGCCCTGCGGGATCTATGTTCCCTCACTCTCCCGCAAGGCCGTGTCAACCACTCCCAACACAAGGTCACACCCGAGGCGTGACGTAATGCGGCAAGGGCCACCACGTGCCCCCTACACAAACGAGCATGGGCTCGCATGGCACCCTCACCCTGCACTGTACGCGATTGGGCTTGTGGCATGCGATGGACGCCACGAGAAGGCAAATAGGGGAAAGGCACAACGGCAAAAGACAACACTTGATGGATTGCTCTAGGCGATAGCAAAGGATGTTAGAGGTAGTTGAGCACTTGTTAGTGACCACAACAATATGAAGGACGACGCTTGGTGCCACCAGGAACTGAAGATTAGGACTCAAAACCCTAGGAACCCCCCTCCCCCGAAACTATGTAACTTGTACACCCATCGCCCTCCAATACATATGGATAGGCATGGGCTCCCGTAGAATCGAGGCTTTGATCGGATCCCAGACCAAGCGAAAAACTCTAGAGAGTAGCATAACGCTTCCCCAACATCTCTCTCTGTTGTAAGAACTCGATTGAGCATTCCTAACAAGAAGAACACCACTGCTGGATGCAGGGCTTAGTTGAACGAACCAGGATAAACCCCTTGTGTTTTGAGTGATTAAGTCACAAGAGACTCACGCATGAACCCACGTCGAACAACTAGATCACTCTAGTGAAATCGAACAAACAATAGTTGACACTCCAGGTAGGGGAGCATCATGGGTGATCATCGCTCTTCGATGGTCCAGGCCACCACCTTCGCCACCAGAACCAGAGGCATCGCCCCGGAGGGTGGCATGCACTTCTCGGATGAGATCATCTCTGCTGCTAGCACCTTCACCCTCAGTAGGCTCTTAGCTTTGGGAGTCTGGACTATGTCGCTGATCACAACAGCGAGCACCTGTAACACCCCAGCCCATTAGTAGCCTGTAGTAGTTGTGAAATTAGCCCATGTAGCCCAAGTGGCACATGTGGAGTTGTTGGTGGGTTTAGTACCACCTTGGAAGTTTAGGAGGGTGAGGGCCACCTTATAAGCCTTGTCATTCCAAACATAGCACCTCCAGGTTAACCCTTTTACACGAAGCGAGAACGATAGTGTAAGAGAGGTGCTACACGTATGCAGGCCTGTTCCACGTGTGGTGTGTTGGCAGTCCTTAACTCCAAATTCTAACTGCCAACTTTTATATAAAAATTGCTAAAAAGAACACCAAACTTAGAATTAGGATTTATAACTAATCAATTCCATGAGTTTTGGTGATTTATCATTTTTAGGAGGACATGTCGGAATAACACAAGATATGAGCCAAAAGTACACAAAGAACTTAGCAAAACATACACCCGACATGTGCCCAAGGGGAGAGGACTCACTACCGAGCCAAACCAAGGCCCAATAAGGGGGAGAACAAGACCAAATCCAGATCAAACCAGCACCAATTGGCGTGAAACCTCCACAGGGCCATTCTAGAAGACCAAAGAATATCTCTTGACGAAATTGGACTCAAGGTGGCCCAACCAGGGTGCAGCCGCACCCATGGTGTGGGCACACCCATGCTGGCCTCCCTCGGTTCCAACCTTCTCCAATCACTTCATACCACCTCTCCAACGTCGGTTGAATCGGTATCGCGGAGGAATTGGTATAGAGGATGGCATTTTGCTAAAGATAGAAAGGAATCAAGGGAATATGCAAAGGGATTATTCCTCCTCTCCACCTATAAAAGGAGGCCATCCCCCTCCTCATTCAACACCACCTCAAGGCAAAGAGCACTCCACATTTGAGCAACACTCCAAGGGTTTAGGCCCCAGATAGCTAGCTAGAGTTGTAAGAGAGAGAT